TATTTTTATTCCTAAGAAAGATAATGACCAATATTTGGATGTTTTATTAAATCATTGAAAATATTTAAAATATGGAAACAAAAGCTTGGATTGGAGTACCAGACATCAGAGGAGGCATAAAGAAATCAAAAACTAGGACTGATATTGTATTCAGGCCAGCAGATAAGAGGGGGGGGGGGATTATTGTCCTTAATAAAGCAGATTATGAACAAGTAATGGAAAAAATACTGGGGGAGGAAAATACTTATGATGTGTTACCTAGCAGCCCAATTAAAAACGCTTTGGCCCAACTAAAAAAAAAAAAAAAAAAAAAAACTGAAAAAACTATTTAAAAAAGGAAAAAAGCAAAGTATATTGAACCAGAAAATGTTAAGTGATATTATACCCCAATAATAGATAAAAACAAAGAAAAGCCAACAGGGAGGCCGATAATTGGTGGTATTAACTCAGCCTTCAGTAGGGTGTGGGAGAGGAATGACTTCTTAAAAAAAAAAAAAAAAGTCAAATAAAGTCTACTTGGAAGATAATGGAGATATCATCATATTGCTTAAGGACATCACTTGAGAAAACATTCTAGCTACCACTGATGTCAACAGTTTGTACATCAGAATCAAACAAGAAGATGGTATTGAAGCAGTAAAATGGGCACTAGAAAGTGATGAAAATTTAAAAAAGAAACAGAGGAAGTGTATTCTGGATTGCCTGGATTTGACGATGAAAAAATAACTTTTGGTATTATAACAACTACAGTGGATAGAAAAAGTCTACGCACCCCTGTTAAAATGTCAGGTTTCTCTAATGTAAAAAAATGAGACAAAGAAATCATTTTGAACATTTTCCAACTTTAATGTGACTTATAAACTGTACAACTTAATTGAAAAACAAAGTGAAATCTTTTGGGGGGAGGAAATAAACATTAAAAAACTCAAATAATGTGGTTGCATAAGTGTGCACACGCTCTTATAACTGGGGATGTAGCTGTGTTCAGAATTAAGCAATTGCATTCAAAATCATGTTAAATAGGAGTTAGTACACACCTGCCATCATTTAAAGAGCCTCGGGTTAACTCCAAATAAAGTTCAGCTGTTCTAGTAAGTCTTTATTGACATTTTCTTAGTCGCATCCTACAGCAAAAGCCATGGTCTGCATAGAGCTTCCAAAGCATCAAAGTACTAGCATTGTTAAAAGATATCAGTCAGGAGAAGGGTACAAAAGAATTTCCAAGGCATTAGATATACCATGGAACACACTGATGAAAAGACGAGAAGAAAACGGGTCTGGGAGGCTGCCAAGAGGCCTACAGCAACATTAAAGGAGCTGCAGGAATATTTGGCAAGTACTGGCTGTGTGGTACATGTGACTACAATCTCCCGTATTCTTCATATGTCTGGGCTATGGGTTAGAGTGGCAAGACTGAAGCCTTTTCTTATGAGGAAAAAGATCCAAGCCCAGCTAAATTTTGCAATAACACATCTAAAGGCCCCCAAAAGCATGTGGGAAAATGTGTTTATGGTCTGATGAAACCAAGGTTGAACTTTTTGGCCATAATTCCAAAAGAAATGTTTGGCGCAAAAACAACACTGCACATCACCAAAAGAACACCATACCCCCAGTGAAGCATGGTGGTGGTAGCTTCATGCTTTAGGGCTGTTTTTCTTCAGCTGGAACTGGGGCCTTAGTCAAGGTAGAGGAAAATATGAACAGTTTCAAATACCAGTCAATATTGGCACAAAACCTTCAGGCTTCTGCTAGAAAGCAGAACATGAACACATCTTTCAGCATGACAATGACCCAAAGCATAAATCCAAATCAACAAAGTAATGGCTTCACCAGAAGAAGGTTAAAGTTTTGGAATGGCCGAGCCAGAGTCCAGACCTAACTTCATTTAAAAATCTGTGAGGTGACCTGAAGAGGGCTGTGCACAGAAGATGCCTTTGCAATTTGACAGATTTGGAATGTTTTTGCAAGGAAGAGTGGGCAAATATTGCCAAGTCAAGATGTGCCATGCTGATAGACTCCTGCCCAAAAGACTGAGTGCTGTAATAAAATAGAAGTGTTTCAACAAAGTATTAATGTAAGGATGTACACAACACTTATGCAACCAGATTATTTAAGTTTTTTATTTTTACTTCCCTCCACCTAAAAGATTTCATTTTGTTGTTCAACTGAGTTGTAGTTTATAGGTCACATTAAAAAGTGGGAAAAGTTCTGAAATTATTTATCTTTGTCTCATTTTTTTACATCACAGAAACCTGACATTTTAACAGGGGTGTGTAGACTTTTTATATCCACTGTATTATGTGTTGCAATGGGGTCCAAAGTATGTCCTCAATGTAGCTAATCTACGAATGGCTAAATGGGAGTAAGAGGACATTTTTTAAAAACAGGAAAGAAGAATTACTTTATTATAAGCGTTTGGATGACATAGCGGTTATCTGGAAGGGGATAAAGCAGCCTTCAAATGTTTTTTGGAAGAGATCAATAATATTTATGGTTTGACATTTATATCTACCTGGAGCCGCAAAAGAGTTGATTATCCTGAACTTACGTTTGTGAATGGAAATAAAATTTACACCAAAACAATAACAATGTAAAAGAATATGATAGTAATAGTTTCCTAACCACCAGTAGTTATCCTATGTGGGTGGGAAGGTCAAATAATTGAGGATGAAGAGAAACTGTAAATCTTGAGAGAGATTTTGAAGAGCAGAGTAATAACTTAATAGAAAGATTCTAGGGATGCCCCGATATATTGGCGGCTGAAATGCATTGGCCAAAAATCTGCGTTTTGCCGATAGGAAAAATAATGGCCGCAGATAAACGCACGTTTTTTAACTGAGATTTTACCATGTTTAGGGTGCATTTTTCATAGGTCATGTGACAAAACTCATAAAAACACAACACGTGTGCATTTGTGATGCAGTTTTGCTGCATTTTCAATGCATTTCAGGCCTGGTTCATACCAATGCAGCTTGTGTTTTGTCTGTTTTGCAGTTCTTTTTGCATTTTTGAACTTGAGTTTTGACACGTTTCTTTGATGCGTTTTGCTTTTTTTTCCCAGCCAACCTGTTGCTGTGCATATTAAAAAAACACGAAATGCATTAAAACTGCACTAAATGCGTTTTCTGCAGAGTCTCCATTGAAGTCTATTGAACCAAAAATGCAATGTTTTACGTTTAAAAAATTCCCTGACCCTTTTCAAAAACACAGCAAAAAAAAAGCAAAGATGTGAACGTGTCCCATGGGATAGGGATGTATTTTTCCTTTTTTTTCTCCTCTCTTTTAAATGCAAAAGCGCTTCAGTGTGAAAGCAGCCTATTGTCCAAAAAGGTGCTGAAAATAAATTCATATTCAGTTTTTGGCCAAATCCATCCTAAATTTTCAGTTTCGGTTCAGAATTTTTCATTTTAGTGCACCACTAAAAGATTCACCAAAAAAAGGTTATAGAAAAAAAAAGTGAGATTGGAGCATGTAAAAGAAGAAGATAAACAGAGACCAAATATTTGAAGATAAAAAAAGAAAACCCAGGATAATAAAAATAAATGTATGGAATATGCATTTGTTACAGAGTTTAATAGAAATTATAGAAAATGATCAAAACCACTGGCCCAGTTTACTGAAAGATAAAACATTGAGTAAAGAATTACCCGATCGCCCCAGATTTATTTATAGAAAGGCTAAAACTGAGAAACATGATAGTTAAGAATGTAGTAAACCCACCCAAAAGAGGGAATACTTTTGAACATACAGGGGTTTTTCTGCTGCCAAAAGCGTGTGGTATGCAGAACAAGCAAATATAAAGACAGAATGACAACACACTTCCAATCTAAAAGTAATAAAAAAGATTTAAGATAAAAGTAATATCGTGAAAGAGCACACATCACCTATGTACTGGAGTTTCCGTGCCACCTCCTGTACATAACAAAAAGTCTCCCAAACCGAGACTAAATGGACATATATATATACATACATATATACACACACACACACACACACACACACACCACATACATATATACACATACATATATACACACACATACTTGATACATTAACACTACAGGGTCATAACAGACAGATTTGAACTGCTTTATTGTTGATTTTGATTTTTTTATATCATTTTTTCTTATTAATATTATTTAGTAATTGGGGAACCACCCAATGGACATCCTCAGTCATGGCCAAAAACACTGGCATCCCTGCATTTCTGTCAGATAATGCACCACTTCGCCCAGAACATTGTTGCAGTTACAAATGTTTAGGCATTCTCATGTTTCTTTTGTTTGTATTGGTACGACACTAAAATTAGAAGAAAAAGCCAAAGCTGACACATTCCACAGAAAACCCCAAAAATTGACTGGACAAAATTATTGTCCTCAAAATTGTAAGAAATGACTGCATTCTAAGTTTTTGATGCTCCTGTAATTTGTAATTAAACTCAACTGTATTAATTAAAAGGTGCTGACAATATAGAAATCACTCCGGCAACCAGATAAAATGGTGAAAATTGACTCAACCTTTCTGTTGTGTGTCTCGTGTCCCACAAGGAGCACAGGAGAAGAGAAAGAGCAACAAAGAATTGTCTGAGGATTTGAGAACAAAAATTGTGGAAACGCATGGACAATCTCAAGGTTACAAATCCATCTCCAGAGATCTTAATGTTCCTGTGTCCATAGTACAAGAAGTTTACAGCCCATGGCACTGTCGCTAATTTCCCTGGACGTAGACAAAAGAGAAAACCTTGATCAAATTCCAGACAAATTCAAGCTGACCTTCTGGCACAGGATGCAACTGTGTCAGCTTGCACTATACATTACCATCTGAATGAAAAAAGGAGGCTATGGCAAGAGGACTCCACTGCTGATACAGAAACATAAAAAAGCCATATTGGAGTTTGCCAAAACTTACCTGAGGAAGCGAAAATCCTTCTGGGAGAATATGCTGTGAACAGACAAATCAAAATTACAGCTTTTTGGTAGAGACCATCATTCTGTTTTCAGAAAAAGCAATGAGGCCTTTAACCACTTCAAGTCCGGACACTTTTACCCCCTTCCTGTCCAGGCCAATTTTAAGCTTTTAGCACTATCACACTTTGAATGACAATTGCGCGGTCATGCAACACTGTACCCATATGGATTTTTTAGTATTTTTTTTTTTAGACAGATAAAGCTTTATTTTGGTGGTATTTATTCACCACTAGGATTTTTATTTTTTTGCTATAAAAAATTAAAGTCTAAAACTTTTGAAAAAAAGTTTTTCTTATAAACGTTTGCAAATAAATAATCTTTCTTCATAAATCTTGGCCAAAATTCATTCAGTTATCTTTTTAGTAAAAAACAAATAACCCAAATTAGTTTATAACCAAAAATTATAAATTAAAAAAAAATTATTTTACATTTTTATATTTTTTTTACATACTGTCACCATGGTGACACTGTACTACTTGTGGGGGGTTATGAAGAGGTTTGTTTCTTTTTTTTACACTGATTGCTTTACACCCATAAAGGCTGTAAAAGCAATTTCTCCTTTCTGGCTGCATTCTTGTTGCTGCCGTTGTGAATAGCCTTGTACCATTTGACCTCTTTGATCATTCACATGTAGTAAGCAATGATGTTAGAAGTGACATCTTGCTTACTACTCTTCATGTGATCACTGATTGGCCAGTCAGTGATCACATGATCGGGACCTCGCACAGAGGTCTCGTACAATGATCGGTGTTCCACTGTGTCCCGAGGCACAGCGGGCACCGAATAACGGTGCTGAGGGCTCCCAGGGAGCACGCACAAGCAGGGGGCGGGGAGGCAGTTTATAAATGGCCACCCGCCCCTGCACTGCCACCGCCTGGCCGTTTATATACAACGGCCGGACGGGAAGTGGTTGAAGAGAAAAACACATTCCTTACAGTCAAACATGGTGGAAGTTCGCTGATGTTTTGGGAATGCTTTGCTGCTTCAGGCAATAAATGTCTAGACCATGTGCATGACATTATGAAATCTGAAGACTAACAAAGAATTCTGGGGTACACTGTAGGGCCCAGTGTCAGAAAGTTGGGTCTCTGTCAGAAGTCATGGGTCTTACAGCAGGACAATGACCCAAAGCAGATATCTGAAAGCACCCAGAAATGGTTTCAGACAAAGCACTGGAGAGTACCGAGCTGGCCAGCAATGAGTCCACATCTCAACACCATAGAGCACCTGTAAGGAGATCTCAAAACAGCAGTTGGGAAAAGGAACCCTTCCAATCTGAGAGCTGGAGCAGTTGATGAAAGAAGAGTGGTCCAAAATTCTAGTAGAGAGGAGTAAGAAAATAATTGATGGTTACAGGAAATTGATCTCAGTTATATTTTCCAAAGGGTGTGCTACAAAATATTACAGGATGCCAATATGGAGGATGCCAATAAATTTTGTCCAGTCTATTTTTTCAGTTTTGCTTGGATTGTGGCATATTTTGCTTTTTGTTTCTCCACTTTTTTGTGTCATACCAATACAAACAAAAGAAATAAAAATGCGAATGCCTAAACATTTGTAATTGCAACAATTTTCTGGGCAAAGTGGTTCCTTTTCCTGACAGAAATGCAGGGGTGCCAATATTTTGGCCATGACTATACTTTGTACAAAAAATTTTAAAAGCACTCAAAACTGGCCAATGTGATTTTGCTTTGGAATCAGTATAAATGGTGATCGGATTTGTAAACTGGGAACAGTAACCAAGTACTTGTATTTAGTAATGGTATAGTACCAGGTATGGATGTGAAGTGATGGGCTCCACAATAAATTAGAATAGTCAAGCTGATTTTTAAAGTTGTTGGATTATAAGTATGTAAATGGTTAAATTCCCTTTATAAAAGAGCAGTGAGACTAGAACTTTCTGACATCATTACGACGAAACATACGTCAAGACAGCTACAGGAAGTGACATCGTTTCTGCTGGGGAGACCCAAAAGTGGTGAGACCAGAGTAATCGGGAGAGCAAGCCGAGATCGCACTTGTTACAGTGGAGCTGAAGCTGTGCAACCCAGGTGCAGGGCGGAATGCACCTATTAATGTGAGCATAATAGTTAATGGTTTTATAGCTGTATGAATTAGTTTTCTTAAAAAAAGGTTGTTGTTTGTTTTATTTTACCCTAGTGGAGCCTTTTCACATTTGATTTTTTTGGAATCCATGATGGTATTACGAGGAAGAAGTGGTAGTATCCTGGATATTAAACCCCTTGGGAACAGCACATATAGACCTACACCCCCTATTGTGTGTGTGGGGGGGTGGGGGCAATTTTGTCTGAGTTTTCGAGTGTGGTGGCTCACTGTGGTGCAGTGAAGTACTTTAACATGGAAGGCATGATTTTGCACAATCTGCACAGAGCACTTTAAATAGTATTGATTGCAGCAGAAGGAAGACAATAATTGAAAGATGTAACTGAACGGACAGTTACACTATTATAGTGTAAATTATAGTATATAATTGATGTTTGGAGCTCTGTGATTTGGAATAGCGTTAAACGCTGAAATTAGAGTCATGTAGGGCCAACTTAGGTAAGTAGCACCAAGGGTCTGATATCATCCATACACTCTCAATTGTTGGTCAAACATTTACATAAATACGGATTACATTTAAAAGCAGATGGAGACAGATCTCTGCACTATGACAGATGAAGGTTGGAAATGGTTCACAACTATTTACAAAGATTCCAATTATCCCAAACCAACAGACTAATTGTTTATTCTGCAGAGGATTTATCACAACCCTAAAATACTTCATCATATGGGTCTGCAGGACGACCCAACATGTATGAGGTGTGGAAGGGCCTTGATTATTTGCTACATCACCAACAACCTTCTTGATCCCCTACAGTCTGGTTTCCGCCCACAACATCCCACTGAAACTGCCCTATTAAAACTCACTGAAATACCTACTAACTGCTAAAACCAATGGCCATTACTCCATATTCATACTCTTAGACCTTTCTGCTGCCTTTGACACAGTCGACCACTTGCTCCTCCTCAGTAAACTCCACACTCCATTTGGCCTCCGTGACTCTGCTCTCTCCTGGTTCTCCTCTTACCTTTCTCAGCGCACTTTCAGCGTCACATACAACTCCTCCTCCGTTCCTCTCCCTCTTTCCATTGGGGTACCCCAAAGCTCTGTCCTTGGGCCCCTCCTTTTCTCTCTCTACACCTCCTCCCTGGGCCAATTGATAACCTCCCATGGCTTACAATAGCACCTCTATGCTGATGACACCCAGATCTATCTCTCCATTCCCCAGCTAACCCCCTCAATCTCCTCATGTATCACAAATCTACTAAGCAACATATCAGCATGGATGTCACACCATTACCTTAAACTCAATCTTTTCAAAACCAAGCTTGTAATATTTCCTCCTCCCCGATCCCACTCTCATGACTTTACTATTAAGATCAACAGCACAACCATTAGTCCTTCCTACTCATGCCAGGGTGCTGGGTGTAACCCTAGACTCTGATCTCTCCTTTGGGCCCCACATCCAATCACTGGCTAAATCCTGCCGCCTCAACCTTCGGAACATTTCCAAAATCCGCCCCTTTCTGACCAATAACACCACAAAACAACTTATCCATGCCTTGGTTTTTATCCTGCTTTGATTACTGCAACTTTCTCCTCACTGGTCTACCGTTACACAGGTCATCCCCCCTTCAGTCTATTATGAATGCTGCTGCTAGACTTATATACTTTACCAACCAATCAGTGACTGCTGGCCCTCTCTGCCAATCCCTTCACTGGCTTCCACTAAACCAATGTATAAAATTCAAAATACTAACCACAGCATAGAAAGCCATTCACAACACTGCCCCTAGCTACATCACCAACCTCATCCGCAGATATCAGCCAAATTGCCCGCTCCTTGCAAGATATCTTGCTCTCTAGCTCCCTGGGCACCTCCACCTATGCTCGCCTCCAAAGCCTCTCCCATCCTCCGGAACTCCCTACCGCAGTATGTTCGGTCAGCCCCCAGCCTGTCTGCCTTTAGTCGATCTTTGAAAACTCACTTATCTAGGGAAGCCTACTCACCTCCACCTAAGAACTGTACTTGAACCACCTCCATCAGAACATTGCCTACAGCTATCAGCTTTTGTACCACCTCCCCCTTCCTTTAGAATGTAAGCTCCATGAGCAAGGCCCTCCTATTCCTTCTGTACTGAAATGTATTGTAATTGTACTGTCTTCTTTATATTGTAAAGAGCTGCACAAACTGTTGGTGATATATAAATCCTGTAAAATAATAATAATAATACTACTACATCTCTTTTGGAGATACCGCAAAAAATTTTGAGACACTGTAAGGGAGTTATTAGTACTATTAATATAAACTTGGAGATTTACTTGATTTATGCTTCTCTCACCTGTGTTCTCAGGTACCTGGACTTGAGCACCCTTAGCCACCACAAACTAATCACGGAACCAGTTAAAATGTGTACATGGTCTATGTTGGCTTTGTTGAAGTTTTTAAAGTGCCCTTCAGTTCCAGTTTGTAAATATTGTTCTCAGATCCAAATGGGAATGTTGATGCCACTTTAAGCAAGCCGCTAGAAGGATTCAGCAGGCTTTCAACAAGCTTCAAGAAGTTGTGAAGCCTGCTAGCAGCATGTTTAAAATGGCAATCAACTCTCCCAGTAGAATCTGTGTGCAACATTTACAAACTGGAGTTGAATGGTACTTTCAAAGCTTCAACATAGCTTTCAGAAAGCTCTGCAAATGCTTAGTCAAAGCATACTGTTCACACTGCTCTTATACAAGCTGAAGCCCATGTGAAACAAGTCTTAGATTGTCAGCAGCGTCAACTCTGTCACATACAGTGTAACATTGCTAAGTACCTGGCTACAATTTTATTTCAGTGACACTCTCTCACTATGCCTTGGGAGTAGGCACTGCTGTGGCACAGCCTGCCTTTTGAACTACAGAGCTTAACTGAGGAAGAGGAGCTTCAAGAGGCACAGTCAGGACAGGAATCAGTATTTACTAGACAACATGGTATAATATATGTATTCCTTAGAAATAGAAAGTTTAGCAGCAATGTAAAATCTGCAAAGCGTGCAAGAAATCCACAAAGTTGTGAAAAGAGATCAGCAGACATGTAGCACCGATAACATGACAAAAGATTTTTCAAAGTTGAAGTGTCAAA